ATTTACAAGCGTTGTGCGATCGTAAGACGATCCATGGTTAAATTGTAGACCAAACTGGACATGTTTGACAGCGATACAAGGCACGAAACGTCAGTCAGCTATTTAAACCAGTTTTGCCAAAAAGATAATAGCTAAAAAATCACCCTTTAAAATGAAACAGAAATGAATCAGAATAGGTCGAGTAGGTCGCTCTCCGATCCTTATTCAGGGGAGGCGAGTTGTACGAAAGAATTACCTAACGAATTTTTATCAAATTTCGCTCGTTTTCAAATTAAAATAACCTCTCACAGGAATGACGATTTACAGCACTGTCTTCACGAAAAATATTACTCGAAGAAGTATCTATCAACACTATCTAGTGACAAAAACCACCTATGGTATGCTTTTTTCAATCCATTACATCGGTTTGTAAATCTTGTTTCCTATCATTCTTCGTCTTTCTTGCTCCGTTATTTTTTATGTTTTGTGTCTTTCGTCGATGAAAATATTCCAAAATATAACTCCTGACCCGAATTTTGACTGTATGCCAGTAATAGTTCACAGAGTTTATACCTCACATCGCGAAATCTTAAAGCATTGGAGATTAGAACTTTGAAATTATCCAGCTTGAATTCAAACTTGATGATTAAATTTCAAGAAAAAGTAGATCTTGTACAGCTTCAGTCGAGTTGCTATTAGAGAAGATTAATGTCAAGTTTTTATCTGCAAGATTTTTATGGTAGTTTTCGAAGTATTTTACTCCAAAAACTATTTATTTATTCTCGGAGGCAAGCGCCAAAAACTCATAGAATTGCATAGAGTAGGCACAGATTTGAGGTCTTTGTATCATATACTTTATTACTGGTGTGGACACCACTTACGCGATTATGGCCGATTTAACAACATTGCGCCATTCGTTTCTTCTTTTTTGCTGTTTGGCGCCAGTTGGAAACACCAAGTACAGCCAAGTCCTTCTCTACCTGGTCTTTCAAACGGCGAAACTTCAAAGTTGGAGTATTCGCATCCATCCGGAACACATGACCTAGCCAGCGTAGCCGCTGCTTCTTGATTCGCTGAACTATATCAATGTCGCCGTATAACTCGCACAGCTCTTCGTTCCATCGTCTGCGATATTCGCTGTTGCCAACTTGCAAAGGACCATAAATCCTACGCGAAATCTTTCTCTCGAAAACTCCCAAAACCGACTCATCAGATGTTGTCATCGTCCATGCTTCCGCACCATATAGCAGGACGGGAACGATAAGGGACTTGTAGAGTTTGGTTTTTATTTGTCCGAAGAGGACTTTACTTTCCAATTGCCTACTCAGTCCAAAGTAGCACCTGTTGGCAAGAGTGATTCTGCGCTGGATTTCAAAGCTGGTTTTATTATTGGTCTTAATGTTGGTTCCCACATTATCCATCGACTTTACGACTTCAAAATTATGACTGTCAGCAGTGACGTGGGAGCCAAGTCGCAAATGCGATGACTGTTTGCTTGATGACAGGAGATATTTCGTAGTATGGAGAAAATCTAAAACTTTTAAATTTTCTTAGAGAAAACTGGCGCTAGTCAAGCCAAGCAGGCTGCTTTAGTGGGAGAGACAGTGACTAAGAAGCTTTCATACTAAAAACTATATGGTCGAAATTCCCACAGTTGCACTCAAAAGTCTACTCAAGGTAACACCAATCAAAAAACATTGCATTCGAAAACATCGCAGCGAAAATCTCTGTGAAACTGACGCTCTCAAGTTTCTTCTTTGCTAAATCCTCCCGGCGTAACTCCACGTGCAAAGGAAGCATAGACAGAGCAGATCATACATCTGCGCGTTTTGGGCTACGCTTAAAGAGAAGGAACGAAAAAATAGCTGACGATGTGAATCTATTACGTTAAGTTTGGTCTGAATCAACTTTTTTACTTAGAAAAGTACACGAAAAATAGCCATGCAGCCATGTCAGAAAATCAGTGAATAGGGGATAGGTGGACCGCTTGTCTTCAGCGTTTAAGGTCTCAAGAGGAACTAAATATTTAATGACCTTGCCAAAAGTGTCATTCTTCCAACGAATGTTACGTTAAAACTATTTCCGTGTCTTCGTCCAGTCTTATGAAGAACTCGTCTCATGTATCTATGAGTTCTGAGAGCTAAAAGAATTGGCGTGGATAACAAGATTCCGTAGAGACTAAATTCAAAGAATCGCGTGAAGAGTGCATCGGCTACCCTATATTTAAGTAAAAATATGTTGGACTAAATTCGGGCTCTCTCCTCACTACCCGCACTGGATCGTGGTTGTGATTGTTAGCCAATACTTTCCTAGATAGCACAACTTGGCTGGACTTTGAATAATCAGCATCAAAAGGGCAGTAAAAACAACAACACCTGCAGCGCGATACAAGCGTTTTTAAGCTTTCCTCCAGAAAACCTTGTTTACTAAAAACAGGGCATTCTAAGAATGCGAGGCTATACGCTTCTAGGGCTGCGAAAATTGGCACCTACGGACATAGTGTACGAATAGACCAGGTGATCTCGCGCCTGACTTTCGGGAAGCTGATGTCGGCTACAGTAGAGGCGAATGGCTGAAGTAAAGTCTAAAATATGCAGACAAAGCTCTTTATATTTTTTTACGGATGGTTCTAAAATGAATAAAGGAGTGGGGGTTTCAGTTTACTGACTAGAGATAGGAAAGCACGCAAACTATTGCAGTATCTTCCAATCCAAAATATTTAGTATGAGGGGCGGCAGAGTTTTTGCAGGGCGTGGGCTGGCAAAGGAAATATATGTGGATAGTCAAGCGGCCTTAATTTCATACAGTACAAAGTCAGCTGTAAAAAATAAGACTTTACATTTACTAAGTGCCAGCTCACTGAGACATTGAAGGTGAGGCTAACGAATTGGCAACGAAAGGTGTCCTTTTAGAACATGATGTAATAGCGAACATGCCATTCAGGGCACTGAAGCCAAAGCAGAAGCAATCTTGCTTCACTAAGAGACTAGAGAATGAGATAATGGCTGCAGAATCACGAAAACTATGCGCAAAGCTTTTACTAGCGGGAAAAATGTCGGATTCCAGGCTGTTAACGGGTAATCGCTTTTTGACGTCATATGCTTTTAATATAAGTCTGATTGTGGACAACAAGCAATGGTAGGAGATGTGTAGACAGTGGAGTACGTAATCTGTGAGTGTCCAGCATTAGGCAGACAAGGACTATTCTGACTTGGTCTAGAAAGTCCAAGGCGTCTACTTCAATTTTGATTGCGCCTTTATTGATTTGCTATTCATACCTGGCCATGGGAATTATAAATAACCAGGTTTACCGAATTCTGTCTTCTGTCCAGTGGTTTCTGAATTATGATATAATGTCATTATGTCTCCCTCATAATACCCCTTGTTTCTATTAGCAAAAATTGGGACAATAGATTCTCACAAGCTTCTCTTGAGGCCAACTCCTGCCAGCCAAATCATTCGCCATATACAGGAAAAAATAGTAGAACTTGGTGTGTGGTTCGAACTATAAGGTGGATGCATATAAACTTTTCAACCACGTTCTCGCAGCTTCTGGCGAGTCACTATCGATGTTTAATGGGGATTCACGTAAAAAGAATGGGATGCCTTTCTAATGATTTTTGCGGCAGCTGCAGGGATGTAGAAGAGGAGTAGACCATCGAGCACTACCTCTGCCACTGTTCAGCCTTGACATCAGCACGATACAAATTTCTTGGAAAACATTTCTTCGATTGTCTCTCTGAGATAGTCTCATAGAATATTGGAAATCTCGTTGCCTTTATAGGGCACATGAAATGGTTCGAAGGCAGTAGCCTCAGCCTCAGCGGTATCACAATGGGCCTATTGTCCTAAGTGTGCTGGCAGCAGCAGCCGCATCAACTCATGTTTACCCCCCTGTTGGCCAAGGCTGAGCGCTTCTGGGCGATTGCTTCCTTAAGAGGCACGAATTAAGAGTCTGGCCGTCAATTCTGGCTTGTGGATCGTTTGTGCCGTCTTACTGCCCTATGTTTAGATATTGTTCGAACCAGAACTCGAACGCAGGCTTTCAGAATGGAAGTACGCAAGACTAACCACTCAGTAATATCCAAGAGTTCAATCCAAATAAAAAAAAAGAAAATGAAGTTTTTCAACAATACGGAGAGCAAAGCGGTGGTTTTCACTGGTTTCAAGGCGAAACCCTAATAATGTTTTTAAACGGTCTATTAAAATTGGCCAGTCCAATAAATGTATTCAGAGTAAGATAGATAATATTGAAAATAATAGCAGCGGCCGCGAAAACCGAGTGGTAAGCATTGCGTACTAACATTCGTAAGGCTCGGGTTCAAATACCCCGTGCGACAAATATCCAAAAGTTATGAAAAATTAATTTAAATAAAAATAAAAATAAAATTAATTGAATTTTCTAATTGCTGTCGTCCTTCGGCAGGGAATGTCCACCCTTCCGAGTGTATTACGGACATGGAAGAAAGACTCCTCGTAGAAAAACCATCAGCCGTTCGGAAGCGGCTTCTCCGAAACAGGCTTGGTCGACCAACTCAGTTTCTTTGAAACTGAAAAAACTCAACTCTTTTGCCTTATTGCCATAAATTTATTTGTAAACTTAAAAAAATATACAGTTCATTATGTCTCTGCCAAGCCTTCGGCACATGTATATGTCCCTCCAAAAGAATTCGCTCAACAGGTTGCCAGGTTCTACCGATTGCATACCAACAAAACATATTCATGCCATTTCACATTAAAAAAAAAACTTATGAACTCAACAATACTCGCTACCATAAATTACATGCCTACCTAACTACCATACATACATACATACATACATTTCGTATATGTATTTTATGTTAATTATTTCATCTCGAACTGCCGCTTTCATATTGATTTTGGTTTTTCGTTTTGGTTCTCATGCAATTTCGATTTGAATTAGTGTTTTTAGCTTTAGACATTCTATAATTTGATTCGATTAATTATTACCTAACGCTGCGTTTTTTGGCACTCCTTCCTATCCCCCCTTCTACGTTTAGTTGTCACCCGGCCGTGAATGTTCCGACACCGATATGGAGCCGCAGGCGTCGCAAAGTCAAGATTGTGAGCCCACACCACCACTGCAACGACACAATTCGACAAATTTCTACCTGCCACAAGTGGAGGCAGGCGTAAGCAATTTAAATAACGGTGCCATAGTGACTGGTGCGAGCGCAATGATGCCCAATGCGGGTGCTGGTGGTGGTGGTGGTGGTGGCGGCGGCGGCGGTGATTCGCCACGTCATATGCGCATGTATCATCCGCGACACAGTCCACTGACGCGTCAACGGTGAGTTTTTTTCTTATTTTCACTTCACTTTTATATTTTGTATTTATATTTTCGTGTGTGTGTGTGTTTTCTTTTAAAGCGGCCTGGAGCCACAACGCGGCTATAATCCCGCTGATCCACTCTCGCCCGATCATCCCGCACATCCGAGCAATCAAGCGGGCGCACAACAGCAGCAACGCAGTGGGACAACTGCAACGCCGACGATGCAGCAACGAATAAAACCATTGGGTGTGGCGACACCACTGGTGATGGCAAGTCCAGTAAGAAGGTGAGTTTGTGTTCACACTGAAATAGCATATTTACATATTAAATACTATATGTACGCTTTAGAAGCATGTGTGCGTCTGTGCGAATGCGAAAGTGCAATTGCAAATGCAAAAAAAAAAAATATGAAAAAAATAATAATAAAAATTGCCAAAAATTATATTTGTATGTATGTATACTTGGAAATAAAGCAATTGCAATGCGCCTCTATGTGCGCCGCTTCAAAGCGTCCAACTACTCTTCGCCACAAATGTGATATTTACAATAAACCGTTATTATTACACGTCACAAAATATTATATTAAAACCTCTGATTTTCTACTCAAAAACGCTTGTTTTGTTTAACACAAACTTTTTACGCCTTGCAAATGTGTGAGCCAAAAAAAAATAAAAAAAAAAAACAAAAAAAATTAAAATTAAGGAGCACACCTAGTGTAATGGCCTAAAAAAGGTGATTTTTTAATAAAAAAAAAATACTTTATCGATTATTAAAAGATTTTAAGAATATATTTATACATGTTTCAAGATTATACAGTGAAATTTTTGAAGAAAAAAAATTAAATATTTTTTAAGTTATAGTCGATCTCCAACGGCGCGAAAAAAAGGCCCTTCACTGCTGCAGTGATTCCGGCCTTCTCCGTGGATGAAATCTAAAAAAAAAATTCTCTACTAGATAATATTGTCTGTACAATGACCTACGATAAAAAAAATCAATAATTGACAATATGGCTGAGTTTTAAAAAAAATACCCAAAATTTTGGTCGTTTTTGGCCTGCCAAAATTCGATTTTTTGATCAGTTTAAAAATCGTTAGGTCATTGTACGAAGAACTATAAATAGAACACGTAAAAAAAATCGATAGTGATCGGATCATTTGTTTTTGAGTAATCACTGCGGCAAATTCGGAAAATGCTGTTTCGAGAAAAACGCGTTTAAAGATAAAATGATCGTTTTCACTCGTAGCTAATGAGACTCTCTAGCTGCCGAGCGGCTGCTCTTTAAATTGCTATAACTCAAAAACTGTTTGAGATATCGATTTGAAATTTTAATATGTTATTTTTAAACGTGTAATCTACCGAAATTTTGAGAAAAGATAGATTTTTTGAAATTTCACACTAGGTGTGCCCCTTAAATAAAAGCAAAACAGCTGCTTACTTACCTATACCTTGCCTATAGTTAATATTTAACGTCTTTGCTTCTAAATCGAAATTGTTTATGTTTTGTTTTTCTATTTTTGTAAAGTGTTTCTATAATCCTCGCTTTCAAATAATTTGTTCTTTATTTTAATTTGTTTATACTTTTTGGCATTGCATTGAAGATGGACATAGCTGGAATTAGCCACTCCTAATTTATGCCAATGTGAAATGAAAATTCGGTAAATAAAAAAAACTGAAAAAAACGTGAAAAAAATAATAATGTTTAAATTGCCAATGCATTTATTGCATCACACATTTTTGGTTTTAAGGTTTTGCATTTATTTGAAATGAATGATGAAAATAATTGTTTTAAAATATTATCGAAAAAAAATTAATAAGAAATAGCGACATTCAGTTGGCGGTCAGTGTTGTAAAAACGAAGATTTGGTTTTTACGACAAAAAATCTAAAACAATATGGAATAGCGCGAAACATCTAGAAATTTCCATGCGAAGCTTCAGAAAATGTCAGGTTTGGTGGTAATAACAATTTAGAGCTTAGCGACGCTTGAAAATACGGGCTTTGAGTAGAGTTAATTTTTCTGAAATCATCTCGAATTACAGCTCAAGGATTTGAATACAATATAATATTTACAAAATTCGTATAACTACCAAGTTTTGCTATGAAGCTCTGCAATCAACGTACATAACAATGTAAATTCCTTTAAAATCTAGAAAATTAAATTTTTGATATGTAAAAAAGAACAACCAGTTTTTGTATGTAAGGTATATTTTATTGCTCCTAGTCGGTTGCTACTTATTGAGTTTTTCTTTTTTTTTTTAAATCAATCAATTAATGATGAAACACCACTTCCTGCATATGGCTGTGGCCGCCGGCCTCGGTGTAGTCCATTCTGTCGACCCAATTTTTCTCAAACTTTTCGATTGTGTGCACCTCGATGGCTACGGTGGCGAATTCAATTTCGTGTTTGACGTCATGAATTGTCTCTTGGATGGTCGGCGTAGGACTTATCCTTAACGGCACGACACAAAAAATAATGAGCTGAGTCAAATCGCATCTTCAAGGCCATTAGTTGACATCTCTATTTAATATTGCTGCATGTGCGGTCCAGAAAACCTATGCGTAACCATATTAAAAGCAATATATTCTCAACGAGTGTCTGTCCGCATGAAGACCGCCTGTATCACTGGTCCGTTTTTCTTCGAAACCGCAGAAAGGCTGTAGCCTTCAGCTTGTGCGCGATGAGTTCAAAAGTTAGACAATTAGCCGGCTCGATAATCGAAGCCGCCGAGGTGAAGATGAGTTTCATCGGAAAATCTGTTAATATTTCGTTAAAAAATGCTCAACTGCTACCAGACGATCTTCAGTCTATTAAGTGAAGTAAAATCCCATTAGATGGCTATGTGCTCTACCAATTGACTTCAAAATAATTCATAATGAGGTCTCTACTCAAAGTCTGGCACAAAATGCACTGAATATTTGACACATCACGAATATCATTGAAGATTTCAAGGCTCCAATAAGCCGTAGTTGAAAAAACAAACAGTAGATGGCACACCCTTTATATTATATAATGTATAAGTTGAGGCAAGAGTTTCTAAAACCTGATAAATATCAAAGTTATTCAGTTATTATGCTGTGTTAATCAAAGACACCCGAAAATAGCACATCAACAAATGTTGGTAATTTTCGGAAAATTATTATCAAACTTTTCATGTCTGTACAACAACAACTAAAACATATTTTTTAATTAAAAAAAAAAGTATAATAAAATGAAAGTAATTTATATATCATAATATAATTTGTGCCTTAAATTAGTGCTGTTAGTAATAAAGTGTAGCATACCTTCAGGCGTTCCAAAAATAATATTTGTAAGGAAAGCATATAAAGTAAAAAAACTTAAGCTTAGAAGAATTTATCAGGAACAAAATTTTAAAATTTTTTCGATACAGTTAAAATTTCAAACATTAATTAATAATTTAAAAAACATAAAAATATCTGCTATTCATTTTAAATAAATGCAATTACATCCTTTGTGCATTCATGCGATATCAGTATGCTTAGTTTAAATCAATTTTTTTATATATTGCTCGTGGCTGTTGTAGATACACATTCGCTTTAAAGGAATTGAAATGTGAAATATGTATATGCATCATCAAATTAAACTGAAAATTATGTACATATGTACTTGCAAAATATGTATTTGAAGTAAAAAAAATATAATTTGTGGATTTTAACAAATTTAAAATTTTTTTTAGAATATTAACGCATTAAAAAAAACCTAAAAATAAAAATAAAATTATTACATTCATTTATTCAAGTATTAACGATTTGTGATTTTTTTTTAATCATTACCAAAATGTAATATGGTCTCTTGCATCCAGAAACAAAAATTTGCATTGGGTCTAGTACAGAGTAATCTATTATTTTTGCATTTAATTATAGGCTTTATTTATCATAGTTAAAATTGTCTGATTTAGGCCCAAATATGCAATGTTTTGCTCAATTACTTTTTCCCATTTCAAAGGTAATATCATAATGTCCCTCTGTCATAGAAACCCTTGTCTCTGATCAAAAAAAAATTGGGACAAACGATTTTCACAAGCTTCTTTTGAGGCCACTTCTTCACCAGCTAAATCATTCGACAAAGACCGATTACCATTGGTATCATTTGTTGCGATAATCGGACTATAAGGTGGATGCATAAAATCCTCTCAGCCAAGCTCTCAGAGTTTCTGGCAATTCGCTGCCGAAGTGTGTGGGCTGTCGTTAACCTGCTGACAGTAAAGGTCCTTGTTAAGATTTCCGTCTCGTAGCGGAGTAGCTTATAGCATATGATTGCTTGCCAGTCCCAATAAACACACAACAAAATCTGTCTGACCGCAAATCCTGGCTTGAAGACCATTTGTGCCAACACACTGCCCTCCGTATACGAACATTTTCATTTAATGTTGCTTTATGTGATCCGCTTTTAATCAACAGCCACCGTCCGCTTTAGAAATAGATAGGTTTTGTTACGATTCAGCGGCTATTTTCAGTTGGAATTTCGGTCCAAGAGATTTTGGTTATTGTTAACTGATGTGGTGCCCATACACTAAGCTACTTTGTGTATCCACACTTTTTTCGGTGGTGCAATGTTTAGCTCCGGGGCAATCGAAACAGTACTGGCATGATGTTAAAACTCGACATTTCAATTGTTTGAAAGATATTTTCGACAAATGGCCTTCCACACCGTGAAGCATCTTTTACATTAAAATAACCGGAACGAAATCAACGACAGCCACTGCTGAGTTGGGTAATCAGCACTTCTTCCATTACATTTTTTACTAAAAAATCTCAACTTGCTAACAGCATCTAGTGTAATCCAATTGCACGTATGGAACGCAAGTTACTGTTCACTAAAGTCATCTATTGCAAGAATAATAGATGATCTTTTACTAAGCTTAATATTGAAATAACCATAAAGTCAGAAATTTAAAAAAGAAATTAAATTTATTTATTTAAGTATTAGCCAATTGATGATTATTTTTTTAATAATTAAAAATATTGGATGAGTGCATAAGTTCGTGCCCGATTTCAAGTGCAAACTAAAATTGAAATTTTTTGAAGAAAGCGCTTTTATTAATCAATTATGTATTCGCCATCTTGTTCGGAAATCCACTCCCAACGTTCAACCAATTTACGGATGCCTGATTCATAGAAATCGCGCGGTTTCTCGTTGGAAAAGGTGTCAAGGTGGTTTTTGACGTCTTCCNAACGATATATAATATGTATATATTTCTTTCACGAGCGCCACTCTCAAACGATTCGAACGGCATCCAGCGGAATCGGGCACGAACTTATGCACTCA